TTGAAAGCTTTTGCATATGCAGGTTCTTTTTAGTCCGCCCTTCTGCTTTTAAAAAAGCATTAAAGCCGTCTCATGCAACCGCTCTCGTGTCCGTCCGTCCGTCGTCCGTGTAAGACGAAGGAGATGAGCTAGAGGTCTACAAATTTCAGGGTATCTTACGGGTCACTCCTGGACAATGAAACGCCTGGTGCAAATCCTGGCAACCACCCCTAAGGGGATCAAACGGGGTAACAAAGAAATAGGGGTTGGTCCAAAAAGTAGGAACAAAATATTTTTTATGGTCTCCTAAGAGGTAACTCTTCAAGGTAGAGGTCTTCGGGCGAAAATTTTGTCCGTTCGACTCTATCTTGCACCGTTTGGGCGCTAGAGTGCTTTTTTCGACGAAAATACGGAGAAAATGACCACGTTGCACCTAAAGGCGTACTAGGAGGCTTCTAATCGTAAAATGGAAGAGGAAATACTCCCCCAAAACAACACATTCTGAATCTGGAACTATTCTCGGATTTGCCGTGTCTTTCACTGTTTCGGCCCTAGAGGTGGATATATTGAAAACAATGGCAAAAAGTCAAGTTTTAAGACTGTTTGACAAAAAATACAATCTTAAAACTGCGCTGGTTCTTTTTTTGTGTGTATTATTCTGAAGCAAAGCAGAAGGGTGGGGTGTAGTCACGGTGTTGCCCCGTTACAGTCTTTTGTCATGTGAAAGGAGCAAATATCTTGGGCCGCAGGCCCTCCACCGGAAGTAAGTTTATCCAAACATGCAAAGTGATTTACCGGTCACATTATCTATTTGGTTATGTTCTTCAGTAAATCGCGAGACTGAGATGGTCGGGCCGCAGGCCCGACCATCGCCGCCGGCAGGCCAAGCAGGCCCGGCCCCTGCCGAACGGAGTAGTTGCCGGTGCAGCGAAGTGGAGCTGGCAACTGCGTTTGGCAGAAGGGCGGGCCTGCTTGGTTTTTCCTACGTAGGTCACAAGATACACTGTAAAAAAAAATTAAGAGAATCCCAGTTTTGGGTGGTGAAACGCCCGATTCTCACTTTTGTCGTGGGAGATCCATGGGTGGATGAATTTCTTAACCGACGGGTTGGGAAATACCTTAACCTAGAGGGCTTGTGATTGACAGAATAGTATCCACGTAACAATTTTCAAGTTGTGGGTTGGTATATCGTTCCGTAACCGACAACTTGAAAATTCAAGTTGTGGGTTAGGGAACGCACCTCACCTGGTCCCATAAGGATCCTTCCAGAATCATGTTTTCAGGAAGAAGTGCTAGTGCTATACTTAATCTTATTACTTTCTTGACCTCTGGGACCCTCTCCATTTGGATTACCAGGTTGAGGTTGGCTACCTCTTGAATGTATGCCAATATAAATTAAAAGTACAGATAAAATAACTTACACACATCCCAGTGAGACATGACAAGTCGAATCGACGTCGAAACGATCTTAAAATGGTGGAAAACTAGTCGAATCGACGTCGAAACGACATCGATTTGACTAACATTTCTCACTGGGCTACCCTACACAAGTGTCGCAGACAACCTTGTACAATTATGTTGAAAACCTCCTCCCAAGCATTTTGCTGCCCCGTCTCAAAATCAGTAATGGCTTTTCTTAGTAGTATGTCAGGTCCCAAGAGCTGGCTTAGCAGTTGCAAAATTGCCTTGTAGGCTGCATCTGTCCTCGACAGCAAGGCCCATCCCAAAGGAATAACATGGTGATTCCATGTAGCCACAATAACAAACACCTAAGAACAAAATTAATGCGTCAAACAGAATGTATACTACAGATCCAGATCCACAAAGTATAGAACTGGTGGCAAATATTGTGAAGCTTTTTTGTTGTAGATCTGCTTTATCGTAGTCTTGTCTGCATGGGAATAGAAATTGATTAATAGATATATCACATGTAGAATAATGAAGTATTGTGGGAATTATAATTGTGAATCACGGTACATTGGTCACATTTAAAGATGAGGTTGGTGGCCTATTTTTGGTTCTGTCAATCCCTTTATGTAGATCTGTGTAATTCACTGTGTGGTAGGTCGCTCCAGTTTTGTTTAGCTTATTTGCAGCAGTGACAAATACTGTATTGAATTTGGATTTCTCTACCCTGATAACATTGCCTTTTAAAGGTGTCTAACGTAAGCTGTTAATAGCTGGAAATATATATGGAAATTTATGTTATTGTTATCATTTGAGAATAAAGTATTATAAGAAAATGTAAGAATTGATTGATTGCATGTTATACCTCTTTGAGCATCCACTTGCGATGCAACTTCAATGTGGGCATGATCGTCTACAGTTTTGAAAGCCTGGATGTCAGCGTATGGATCTTAAACCCAAAGCATTAATAATGTAATTTTTTTAATACAGTAATTGCAAAGGGCTAAAATGATGACGGGTTATTTGGATTGAAGTTCATAAATATTTTAAGACTGGTCCATGCACATGATCCATTGATCAATATTGGATGTTGAGTTCAATTTTACATTGGCATTTCAGTGGCAATGAGAGACCGAACATAAAGAAGAGTAAGAGAGTGCAAACAAAATTTGTAGGAGTTTTGATTCTAATACTTTATGAGCTTTCATTCTAAATATATTGTACCTATTTTAAACAGTATAAGATTATTACTTACCGAACAACTTAAACAAATATTTCACTGTGACATGCGGTGAATGAAATAAAATAAATTATAATAATATATTATTGAAATCATATATTGACTGATAATTTCAATTCAAAGTACTATTGTTACCTTATTTATGTTTGACACATATAAACAAGATGTCTCCTTATTTTCCTCGTTAGCAATTTTAGTGTCATTATGCTGTTTGACAGTCCTTACAACTGATAATGTATCAGTATCATCTAGGGATTTGGGTTTAATGTAGGATTCCGGAGCACTAGAATAGAAAGAAATGTATGCAGCTTTAGAGTTTGTTACAAGGGTGACATATAAAATTAAACAATCATTTCCAATGAATGTGGTACGTACTCTGGTTCTAACAATTGATGTTTTGTCATCAAGTTATTGTAATCATGAGCTAAATGCTCAAATGCAATTGTTCCATAGTCTTTATTGATTTTTAGAATTTCGGCATCAGACACGCATCTGATGGTCAGATTAAAATTTATGAAAAATAATGTCATGGTCATTATTAGAAATGTAAGCATCATATATACCTTTTAGTTGTGCTGTTAGTTCGGTTATCTGAAGTAAACACGATTGTCTGTTGCACGTCATGGTGTATGCAGTTTGATGGAAGTGAAGTTGAATAGCTACAAAGATGAAATGGTTAGGTTAGTTAATGGACAAGTTAGTTAAATTAATGGGTAGGTGCTGGAGGGGGATTGCCTGGAGGTTCCCCTGACTGCAGGTGCCCCCCCTTAATAATAAAT